CATGGGATCACCGTGGCCACGGGATCTCTGTGGGATTCCCATCTGCGATGCTGAGGGATCCCGCCTGCTGCATTCCTGCTTTTTCCGGGATCAATAAATTAAGGAAGTGTCCGAGGGCTGGGGCAGAGGCACAGCTGGCACTGCTATCTCACGGCCAGGGACATCCTGGGTGTGGCAAACAGGGGCTGGTCCAGGGGTGGCCAGGCTGGCTGCTGCTGGCTCAGCTCCTTCTCCAGCCTCTTGAAAAGCTTCTTGGAGGCTTTTTTCCGGCGCAGCCTTCGGAAGCAGCTGAGCAAACCATGATCCAGGGCGGTCTGGGGCCAGAGCAGGAGGGAAATGGGGTTGGGTGAGGACAGGAGAGCCCCGTGCCCACCTGGGGAAGCTCCAGGGGGACGCCCCATCCCAAAGCCCCCCTGACCCACCTCCAGCACGAAGGCAGCGAAGAAGTTGAGGGCGGCGATGCCCAAGAGGAGCAGCTTGAAATTGAAATCCTCGATGGGCTGGAGCTTCAGCAGGGATTTGGGGAAGCCCAGCGGGTACAGGGTCAGCCAGATCATCAGGCCGAAGAGCAGGATGAGGACAAGGAGGAAGAGCACTGGGGGAGAGAGGGGGTGGTGTGAGGGGCATGGGGGAGAGAGGGCTGGTGGCTCTTGGTGTCCCCCTGAGTGTCCCCAGGGTGTCCCATGCGTGTCCCCGTGGGTGTCCTGTGGATGTCTTCTGTGTGTCCCCCTGGCTGAGACTCCAAAATCTCGTTCCTGTCCCCATGGGTATCCCTGTGGGTGCCCCATGTGTGCCCCGTGGGTGTCCCCCTGGGTGTCCTGTGGATGTCTCCATGGGTGCCCTGGGTGTCCCCATGCATGTCCCTGTGTGTCCCCCTGGNAGGGGGATTTGTCCCGGGACGGGGCGGGAAAAGGACCCAGATCACCCAAATCCCGCTTTCCCCACTAGACAGGTCAGGAAGAGATCCCAAATCACTCAAATCCCGCTATCCCCAGGCCGGGAAAAACACCCAAATCATCCAAATCCCGCTCTCTCCACCAAACGGGTCGGGGAAAGGACCCAAATCACCCAAATCCCGCTTTCCCCACCCAGGCCGGGAAAAGGACCCAAATCACCCAAATCCCGCTTTCCTCACCCAAGCCGGGGCTGGAAAAGGCCCCAGATCGCCCAAATCCCACATTCCCCACCTGGGACAAGAAAAGGTCCCAAATCCCGCTTTCCACACCAGATGGGTCGGGAAAAGGTCCCAGATCACCCAAATCCCGCTCTACTCTCGGAGGGTGGGGCTGGAAAAGATCCCAAATCACTCAAATCCCGCTTTCCTCACCAAACGGGGCTGGAAAAGGTCCCAGATTACCCAAATCCCGCTCTCCCCACCAGGATGGGGCGAGAAAAGGTCCCAAATCACCCAAATCCCACTTTCCCCACCCAGGACTGATCGGGAAAAGGTCCCAAATCACCAAATCCTGCTTTCCCCATCAAACGGGGCTGGAAAAGATCTCAGATCACCCAAATCCCGCTCTCCCCACCAGGATGGGGCGAGAAAAGGTCCCAAATCACCCAAATCCCACTCTCCACATCCTGGACGGGGCAGGAAAAGGTCCCAAATCACCCAAATCCCGCTTTCCCCACCAAATGGGGCTGGAAAAGGTCCCAGATCATCCAAATCCCGCTTTCCCTACCCAAGCCAGGGCTGGAAAAGGTCCCAGATCACCCAAATCCCGCTTTCCCCACCAGACAGGGAGGGAAAAGGACCCAAATCCCGCTTTCCCCACCCAAACGGGTCTGGAAAAGGTCCCAGATCACCCAAATCCCGCTTTCCCCACCCGGGACGGGAAAAGGACCCGGATCACCCAAATCCCGCTCTGCAGCCCCCGGACCCCCTTTCCCAGCTCCTGCAGGAGGATCCCGGTGGGATCAGGATGATCCCAAACCCCCCAAACTTGGCAGGGACACAGAGCCAGAGCTGGGGGTGAATCCTGCGGGTTTGGGGTGAAAAATTCAGGAAAGGAGCAAAAGGAGGGCACTGGGGTGGAGGGAGGAGGTGTCTGGAGATGGGATGGGGTGAGCAGGGGAGATTTTCTCCCCTGGGATTGGATTCCCAGCAGCCCACGCTGGGTTTCCAGAGGGCTGAGCACCGGGACGGGCTCTGAGAGCTGCAAAATGCAGGAAAAAAGGGATTTTCAGAGCAGGATGGGAGGGAGATGGGGCTGGAAGGTGGTCCCATCTCCTCTCCTCTGGTTTGCCAGGATGAAGGATGGGTAAAACCCACCCAAAAGCACACAAAGGACCCCAAAACCACCCAAAGGATCCCTAAAACCACCCAAAGGATCCCAAAACCACCTCAATTTCCAGGATGAAGGATGGGTAAAACTACATAAAGGGCCCCAAAACATCTCGATGAAGGAGGGGTAAAACCACCCTCAGGGCCCCAAACCCTCAGTTTCCAGGCTAAAGGATGGGTAAAATCACCCAAAAGACCCCAAAATCACCCAAAAGACCCCAAAATCACCTCAGCTGCCAGGCTAAAGGATGGGTAAAACCACACAAAGGACCCCAAAACGCCTAAATTTCCAGGATAAAGGATCCCTAAAACCACCCAAAGGACCCCAAAACGACCCAAAGGACCCTAAAACCACACAAAGCATCCCTAAAACCACCCAAAGGATCCCCAAAACCACCTCAATTTCCAGGATGAAGGATGGATAAAACTACACAAAGGACCCCAAAACACCTAAATTTCCTGGATAAAGGATCCCTAAAACCACGCAAAAGACCCCAAAACCACCCAAAGGATCCCAAAACCACCTCAGCTGCCAGGATAAGGGATGGGTAAACCACTCAAAGGACCCCAAANTGGCCATGGGATCAATGGGGCTGAGGGATCAGAGATCAGTGTGGCCACGGGATAAGTGTGGCTATGGGATCAGTGTGGCAATGGGATCAGCGTGGCCACAGGATCAGTGGGGCTGTGGGATCAGCTTGGCCATGGGATCAGTGTGGCCATGGGATCAGTGTGGCCATAGGATCAGCTTGGCCATGGGGTCAGCTTTGCCATGGGATCAGTGTGGCCAGGGATTCAGTGTGGCCTCAGGATCAGCATGGCTGTGGGATCAGTGGGGCTGTGGTCTCTGTGTGGCCCTGGGATCAGCATGACCACGGCATTAGAGCGGCCGTGAGATCAGCGTGGCTGTGGGCTCAGTGTGGCCACAGGATCACTGTGGCCATGGGCTCAGGTGTGGCTGTGGGCTCGGTGTGGCCATGGGATCACCGTGCTCATGGGATCACCGTGCCCATGGGATCACTGTGCCCATGGGATCACCGTGTCCATGGGATCACTGCTCCCATGGGACCACCGTGCTCATGGGATCACTATTCCCATGGGATCACTGTTCCCATGGGATCACTGTGTCCACGGGATCACCGTTCCCATGGGATCACCGTGCCCATGGGATCACCGTGTCCATGGGATCACCGTTCCCACGGGATCACCGTTCCCATGGGATCACCGTGTCCATGGGATCACTGCTCCCATGGGATCACTGTGTCCACGGGATCACTGTGCTCATGGGATCACCGTGTCCATGGGATCACTGTTCCCACGGGATCACCGTGCCCACGGGATCACCGCGCCCACGGGATCACCATTCCCATGGGATCACTGTGTCCATGGGAATCACCGTTCCCATGGGACCACTGTGTCCATGGGATCACCGTGCCCACGGGATCACTGTGCTCATGGGATCACTGTGTCCATGGGATCACTGTTCCCATGGGATCACTGTGTCCATGGGATCACTGTTCCCACGGGATCACCGTGCCCATGGGATCACTGTGTCCATGGGATCACCGTGCCCATGGGATCACTGCTCCCATGGGATCACTGTGCTCATGGGATCACTGTGTCCATGGGAATCACCGTTCCCATGGGACCACTGTGTCCATGGGATCACCGTTCCCATGGGATCACTGTGTCCATGGGATCACTGTGCTCATGGGATCACTGTTCCCATGGGATCACTGTGTCCATGGGATCACTGTTCCCATGGGATCACTGTGTCCATGGGATCACCGTGCCCACGGGATCACTGTTCCCATGGGATCACTGTTCCCATGGGATCACTGTTCCCATGGGATCACTGTTCCCACGGGACCACCGTGCTCATGGGATCACCGTGGCCACGGGATCTCTGTGGGATTCCCATCTGCGATGCTGAGGGATCCCGCCTGCTGCATTCCTGCTTTTTCTGGGATCAATNTTCCCCAGCTCCGCTCCCTCCGTGCGGGGGTCCGGCGGCTCCGACCGCGCCAGATGTTTTTGCAACTGCACATCTGGGAACAATCAACCCCGGAGAAAGAACACCACAGTCCCTTTCATTCTGCTAAACCCCACCTTCCCCCAGCATTTCCCCCCTCCCTCAGCTTTTCTTTTTTTCCCCCCCATTTTCCTTTCTTTTCTTTTCCTTTTTTTTTTTCTTTCTTTCTTTCTTTTTTTTTTTTTTTTTGAGCTCTCCCGTTGCCAGAGAGTGGGAGAACAAAGGGAATATTAAAAGATTCCAATTTTTTTGGCCCCCGACCAGAGGTAAGGAACTTGGTGCCCCCCATCCCTGTTTTCAAACATCACCTTTTCCTCAGGGGCCCGTCCCCCCAAAAATGAATTGGAATAAAAGATCCATTTTCTACAATCTCTTTCCAGGATGGAAAAGAAAAAAAAAAAAAAAATCAACAAACCCACGGCTTCCTCCAGACTTTAGGATATTTTTAGACTTTTTGGAAGTGGTTAAAAATCTCCAGTAATTGTCAGGCCTCACAGAAGGGCCCCTTCCCCCCACCCGGCCGCCGTTCCTCCGGCCCCCCAAAAATCAAGGGGGGTTTGGCTTTGTGAGGTTAAAAAGCTGAAAACAACTTTTCCAAGCTCTTAACCGATGGAGTTTCAAAGGTGGTTTTTTCACAAAGTCCCCAAAATGGGGGTTCAGCCCCGTTTGCTGCTGTGGGGGGGGGTCCCCGGAATTCCTGGGAATTTTTGGGGGGGTTTCCCTCGCCTGGTCCTTACCAGTGAGTGCCGGCTCTGCCCTCGCCTCGCTCTCCTCTCTCTGCTTCCCCAAAACTCTTGAAATGAGAGACAGAAAAAACAAAAAAAAAAACCAAAAACCCAAAAAAAAACCTCCTACCTCCAGCACAGGGGATCCGCTGGGTCCTAAAGCCGCACCTGAGCCGGCCCCTTTCTCCTCCCGCGCTGCCTGGGAGGGGGAAAGCCGCGAAAATCCCCAAAATAACCCCAAAAAATCACCCGCGAGAACGCCCCGCTGCCAGGGGAGCCAGGGACGGGGTGCTCTGTTGGTTTTGGGTTTTTTTTTCCCGGCGGGATGAGCTTTAAATCCATGGGAAAGCGAGGAGGGGGAGGATCCGGGGTTTGCGGGGCTGCAGGGAGGGAGGAAGGGATGGAAGGAGCAGCTCCGGGATTTCTTTCTGCCACCTCGTCAGCTCTTGTGGGAAAAAAAAAATCACTGCACCCCCCCAAAATTTGGGATGCTGGGATCACAGGATGCAGGCGTGGATCCCGATCCCCCCCCAGCAGCGGGGATGCTGCGGCCCCGAGGGGGATTTGTCCCGGGACGGGGCGGGAAAAGGACCCAGATCACCCAAATCCCGCTTTCCCCACTAGACAGGTCAGGAAGAGATCCCAAATCAC